CAGTTGTTGCTGCAAAGCGTGGGACAACCAGTTATTAGATTTAGGTGGCAAAAACCTTTTCACAGCACTGTGTGTATTTATATATATATATATATATTTTACTGTGGATGATGATTCATAACGTGTAAGGAATGTCTGGGGTTGAGTCAGTTGCCTAAACTTGTGTAATTTTATGTTGTGCTGTTAACGTGTAATGTGTTTTTTAAGTATTAAAGGGTTAGTTCACCCAAAAATGAAAATTAGCCCATAAATTACTCACCCTCAAGTCATCCTAGGTGTAAATGACTTTCTTCTTTCAGACGAATCCAGTCAGAGTTATATTAAAAATGGTCTTTGGTCTTTCAAGCTGTTTCATGGCACTCAGCGGGGGGTGCTTGCATCAGTCCAAAAGCAGTTAAATAAAAAGAGCCCATCCATAAAAAAAATAAAAAAAGTGTCTCACACGGCTCCGGGGGGTGAACAAAGGCCTTCTGTAGCGAATCGATGCATTTTTGTAAGAAAAATATCCATATTCAAAACGTAATAATCACTTTAATGTAGCTTGCGCTCACTGTTGTACACGGAAGCAGCTCCGGCGGATGACGTATGAGGTCAGCGTTGCGCATGCGCCGCTCAAAAGTAATGAACACAGAAACGCAGCGGAGAGATCAAAACAAAACACCGGTCACTTATTAGAAGTACAAAACGAGGATTTGTAAAGAAGAATGTCGGAGGATTTCGATATAAGCCAAGAGGAGACTGGGTTTCCTTTGCTAAAGTAAGGAAACTTTGCTTCCTTTGCTCCTGTTAACAAACGCTGGTTTTCACGAGACTCACCGGCGCATGCATGGACTGAAGCATGCGACACCCGCTGAGTGGCATTAAACAGCTTGAAAGACCAAAGACCATTTTTAATATAACTCCGACTGGATTCGTCTGAAAGAAGAAAGTCATATACACCTAGGATGTATTGAGCGAGTAATTTATGGGCTAATTTTCATTTTTGGGTGAACTAACCCTTCAGTGTGGATGTATCTATGTCACCAGTGTCAAAGACAAATTTCCGCTCTGTGACATGCAGAACGGACAATAAAGTTAAACTTAAACTAGACGCGATGTGATATTTCTCACACACATTATGGCCAGAAATGTGAAAACACACAGAGCAACACTAACCATGAGATCTGCAGTGCTGCTATGGCACACACATATGAGTCTATCTGACCAATCAGATCCCGCCAGCGTAACAGCGTTTATTCCCCTGACGGCTCACTCACTTTAGTGGCGTAATTGGGTTTATCGATGGCTTCGTCTCCGATGAAGAAGTCCAGGTCATCCACACCCTTCATCATCCTCCGCTGGGCCTGATCTCCCACCTTCGCAGACTCTTTGATGGCGATGCCTGACAGGAGAGAGGGATGATGGGAAGTGAGAGATGATCAGACTGCTGTCAATCAGATAGAGGAAGTGAACACTGACTCCAAACGAGACGCGAGCGCTGACGAGTGAGGACACAGCTTTAATATGGGGATGTTTGTAAGATGATTCTGCATCTTTTGACCAAAGAACTTCCTTCATGATCACTTACATATAATGCTTACAGTAAATACAACCATCTGACACAACAGTAGACTGAAATTGAGTAAATCATTATGATTATTTTTCCAATTAATTGTGCATCCCTAATAGAGATTTAAGTTAAAAATAATAATAATAAGTTAGTGGTTTTGTGAGGCACTTTGAGGCTCACGTTCATCTCAGTGCTTCTTCAGCTCCCTGATCTGAGAACGAACCCTCACCATCTCGACCCTCACTACAGCTGTGCACTACACCCTACAGACAACATACACACTCTCTCTCTCTCTCTCTCACACACACACACTCTCACAAACACACAGACACACACACACTCACTCTCTCACACACACACACTCTCTCTCTCTCACTCTCACACACACACACACACTCTCTCTCTCTCTCACACACACACACACACACACACTCACAAACACAGACACACACACACTCTCTCTCACACACACGCACTCACACCCTCTCTCACACTCACTCACACACACTCACTCTCTCTCTCTCACACTCACTCACACACATACACTCACACACACTCTCTCTCTCACTCTCTCACACACACGCACTCACACTCTCTCTCTCTCTCTCTCACACACACACACACACAGACACTCTCTCTCACACACACGCGCACTCACACCCTCTCTCACACTCACTCACACACACTCACACACACTCTCTCTCTCTCTCACACTCAC